TATTTTTGAACTGATTAATTATCTAAAGATGTTTCCAATCTATATTTTCCGATAAAACCCATATTTTTTATAGCTCTCAGTTGCATCCAATTCAAATTAAAAGAAAAATCTTAATGCCTACTTTTATCCATTAAAATTCAATTGTGGTTTACTGTTTATTTCCAAAACTAACTACACACTTTTGTAATTTATTTAGGTAAAAATGAGTGTAGTCAAGTTTTTTTTAGATATTAGCTCTTCTAGGTTTTAGAACTTTTCAAATTAGTCTTTTGATCTATTTTTAAGAAAAGAGTTTAAAATATATAATTTTTTGACATTCCGATTTTAGAATACTGTGATTGGAAGCGATCAAATTATTTTTCATTGATTGAGTTATTGAAGGTATATATGATCTTATAAAGTAATTAAAATAAGTGTTATTGAATGAAGAAAAATTGCATGATTTGGACTTTTAATAGATAATTTTTACCTCAATCAGATAAATAAAACCTACAAAAATATTATCATCACATCCAGAGATAGCTATATTTGAAACATAAATAAATCAAATTATGTAAGAGGTTTTTACAAGAATATTATTAAAATAAAAATTATTTACATAAATATAACTATTCATTACTATAACGTAGTGTTATGGTAACTTAAGTTCAAAAGTTGAACATGAATTACTATGACTTCATTACTACTCTAGTAACTAGTCATATTTTTGTAAACCATCTTTATTTTGGTCATATTTATGTAATTATTTCATTATGTAATGAAAAATAATAAAAACAAATGCCTCATATTCAAAAATGAAAAATGATATCAATATTCTTGACCAAATAGTACTATATTAAAGTTACATCTATGAGTAAAAGAGTTACTATGTATCTTTTATATACAGTCTAACTTATTTATTTAGTTCTTAAACATCACTTAATTAATATATACACTAAACTAAAAATAAATTTTACTTTCATAAATGAGATCAATGAATCGATTTCAATTGCAAATATCCTTAATTTGAAAGATGAATATAATTTGAGATAGCATTAAGACAAAATTATACAAATTTTGCAAATTTTAACACATGCAGTCTTGCTGTTTGAATTTTTCCCACTTTCATTTTATGACTTTTCACTCGTTTTTACATTTTAGGAATCATTTGCAAAATATTAGATTATTTTTAAACAATTTTATTGAAATGATTTGGGGGTGCTTAAAAGATATTTATTCTCTTGTATTCCACTTTCATTTCCATTTATTACTTGTAGTTATTTTATCTAATTAAATAATATTTAAACGGATATTTTTTTCCTAGCCATATCATTATGTCATCCTTTCATTTCACCTTCTACATCATTACATAGCACTAATTCTTTTCTTTCACTCTACTTACTACAACCTTCATCTTATTGAGTAATTTTTGGTTCTCTTTCCACTTTAGTTTCAAATTTCTCATTTCATTTCCACATTCTTATACGTAAAATCATAATACAATCATCACACCTTATTTAAAGAAATTGTTTTAACGCTTGAGGGCTCACTATTGCACGCATAATGAATATCTTCGAGGTGATCGTAATCGAGTCTTTGTGTTGTGGATTTTCAATTTTATCCTGTATAAGACTTTTAGGTTTCTGATTTTCATGTCAACAATATGTAAATGAAAATTTGAGATTTCAAGTATGGTGATATTATTAAACTTGTATGAGTGCAATTTAAAAATGAGATATTACCCAAAATGGGACTAAAAAAGTTTGAAAATTCCAAAATAGGACTTCCATGTTTTTATTCCCAAAATAGGACTAATTACTACCATGTTTTGGCAGTACCAGACTTCAAACATGGCAGTATTTTCCAAATTTGGCAGTAATTAGTCCTATTTTGGGAATAAAAACATGACAGTCCTATTTTGGAATTTTCGAACTTTTTTAGTCCTATTTCGGGAACTTTCCCTTTAAAAATTGGCAAATGAATATCATAGAGTTAAATTATATTTTAACTCGACAATTTCATTGAGAAGTTCATGGCATGGATATCGAGCTATTAAACACATCTTATCTTTATTTTAAAATATTGACTTATAGAATTAAATGAACTCATTGCATAAATTCATACATGAATAAAATTCATATTCATTATTTTGAAATGTTATTAAGATTAGTTTTTCTCAGTTAGATCGTTATCAAGAAATTGGTTTTTGAGGCTAGACAATTCTATTTTAGATCAACAACCTGATTGAGAAGTTGGTGGCATGGAGCTGTTAAACACATCTTATGTAATGTTTTTCTCAATTAGATCATTATCAAGGAATTAGTTTTTGAGGTTTTCGGTATAATTCTTAAACTCCCTGTTGAGGTTTATTCCCGAAGATCCGAAAGCCCAACACAAGCTTTGGATATTGTAGGGATGTTGGGTTTGTTTGGAAAGTGTATAAAATATAAAATAGTGAAAGATGGATCAACTCATAAGCCCACTTGTATTCAGTAATTCTGCGATTACACTGAAATTACCCGAACGGTAGGTAAATACAAGAATAAAAGAATAAGAGAAGTATTTCTACTTGCTAAGCTCTGAGTATTAAAATGCTAACCCTTTACAATGATCTTAATGCAGGTATTTATACTAAAATGGGGATGAGAAAGCTGGACACGTGGCTGAATCCGGTAGGTTGTGCCCCCTGCCACGTAGGAACTCATGCCCCCACTTGCTGCCGCCATGCTTTGGGATTAAATGCAGCCTCCACTTGTTGACTACCCATTCGGGGTAGGATGTTCGATATTGGGACATCCCGTCATTGTTGTCCTGAGAGCCAATATCCCGAACGCCGTTCGGTGTGCGGGACCCTGTCGTGGATGTAGGTGTAGTTGTTCCCCGAAATGTTCCAAGTGTAAGAAATGTACCGAATGCCGACCGGGTCCGGACTGCTTTGGGCCTGCGTCTTCTCCTGGCTTCCTTGTATTTTGGGCCGGGGGTATTGGGCCTGGACCCAATATCCCAACACTCCCTTTTTGCATTTTAGTACCAAATTAATCACGTGTCATCATCTCAATTTTTACTCAAATAAGCTCATGAATATTTTTAAAATATGAATGATTAACTTCACAAAATAAGCTCATTTAATTTTTTATGTCTATCTCAGTTTTGCTTGTATAAGGATTATATAACTCCACCGTGATTAACTCCAAATCTTACTCATGAATACTTTAAGGAGATCGATTTATTGAAATCTAATTCTAATCTTTTATATATATATATATATATATATATATATTTATATCTAAATTTTAGGAAGGGCTCTATTAAAACGTTTTTAATTGGACTGATTTTTTTATATGATTTGTCTATTTTAATCGGATCTGGTCTGATCTGTATGATCTGATCTGGTCAGGTCATATTATCCAAGATTTTTCTTAACTTTTTTTGCTAACCAGATTTACTTCATTCAATTAACAGTTCAGATGCATCATTTTAGACAATAGTTCTTAACTTAGACATTAGTTTCACCTACATTTCGAAGTTCCAAACATAACCCTTATCTATGAGCCTGTTTGGATATTGAGAAAATTTTACATAAATAATGTATTGAACTTTGTTGAATTCTAAGGGAACACGGCAAAATTTTGATAAGTCTTAATTTTATTTTTAAAATTATAGGAAACAATTATTAAAGTGTTAGATTTTATTTTTTATTTTTAAATATTCAATATTGGCGTCATATAAAAGATAATAAAAATTTATAAATTTTGATATATTTTTTGTAACAGTTTGAATATAAATAAAAAAGTTTTTACATTTTAAAATTACTATGGAATTTTATTTGTTGAATTGCGTAGATCGAGGGTGTTTGTAACTTTGCTTCCTCCTAAATTAACGTTAGATTGAGTTTTAATCTAACTTAAATAGTGATGCATCGGAAGTATATTTATTATAATTAATTAATATAATAAATTGAGAAGAGAATTCTACAATATTATAATGATATTTGCTTAGAAGATGAGACATGACAAAACTTTCCATAATTGTATCTTTAAAATATACGGAATATTATTTATAGATTTTACTCGTAATATGTAATATTCTTTTACTATAATAGTTTTGTACTTTATATTATAAAGTTATACTCCCTCCGTAACATTCATATCTTCCCATTTTCCTTTTTTGGACGTAACATTTATATCTTCCCATTTCTAAATCTTCCAATCATACCCTCAATAATTTAAAAAATAATACACTACTACACCTACTTTTTTTGGATTTATCCTTCATTCCATCACATTATTTCACCATCTTCCCATCATACCCTCAATAATTCATACCCCATTTCACTATTCTTAATCTCACCCACATTAGAAGTGGGAAGATATATGTGATACGGAGGGAGTATTATATTCTGGCAATGTGGCCCCTTACTCGTACCGTACACATTCGTAATTTGGGCATATGGTCCCCTATAAATCATGCTGGCAATAAATAAAAACTCGTTTTTCCTCCACCTGTGTTGCTATGTAGATTTCATTCAATCGTTCCCTGAGAAAAGCTTCTCTATATACTTGTATATATTAGAATGATTTGATATTTTGGTTTGAATTATAAATTCAATTTTTCGTAATCTGCGGCATTGTTGCTCAAACGTCTGAGAGTTTTATCGATCTACATCTTTCCCAATAGCCCTAAAATTATGAAGCATTTTTAGGGGCTTCGTTTTCTCCTATCGGTAGACGGTAGTGCAAAGAGGCAGTCTACACCCTTCCCACCTCTCCAATTGTTATCCGCTCTGAGTTGATCTAACGTGATAGCCAAACAATTTTTAGTTTACGGGGCAAACTGATTACAGCCCTACACTTTACATGTAATCATTTTACATGTAAAGTTTTAATGAGTAAACTACCATACGAGCTCTAATAGTTTTGTACTTTATATTATAAAGTTATATTATATTCTGGCAATGTGGCCCCTTACTCGTACCGTACACATTCGTAATTTTGTATAATGGACAAAAAATAGTATAATACGGAGTAAGTAATAATTAAACGTTATATATGGACAAAGAAGAATATAATAATATCATGAAAAAAGTTAAATACAATAAATGAAACCAGGAGTGGCAGCAACCCTTGTTTTCAAGTAATTTGGGCATATGGTCCCCTAATATACGTCCAGCCGGCTATTCTGGTCGTTGGCTCGTTGCTGCCACAAATTTATTGCGAAAATTACAGAGAAATTCAATAATATATTCATATATATTACATGCATTAGATTTAGATTAGAGCATAAACATCTCTAATACTCAACGATGGGAATGGGCCGGGTGCAGTCGGGACTCAGGCGGTCTTCACTCCGGTGGCATCACTTCTTGGGTTGTGATCTAGGGGAACAAAAATACATGAGTTGTGGACATAATTTTTAGGGAAAATTATGATTACCCCTTTGAATTTGGTCATAATTATCAGTTCAACCTGTATTTATAAAAAAGTCCATTATATACCCCCTGGGCTTTGTTTTTTTTGTTGAAATCCCCCTTCCGTTAATTTCTAGTCATTTGGCTGTTAATAATGAGAGAAATTGTCTAATATGCCCTCCATGGCTCTATTTTTAAACTAAATTGTAAAATATGGGATTAAAAGCCCTTCTTCGACTCTTCACAAACCTTGGGCAATTTCTTTTATGCCTTCATTGTTTACTTTTTCTACAATGCTTATCAATCTCCAACATCAAATGAGAACTAAATAAGCCTCAAGTCACAAAATGAACTTAATAAAATTACATTCCGTCAATTATACTGTATTACAAAACACAACCTATATATTCAGATCACTTTATAAACTTCTGCTTACTATTTAGAAAATAGAGCAGCCACAGCAGCCCTTATCTACATTTGGGTCTCTCATGACAACTTTTGCTTCTAGAGATGCAAATGAAAGGAGATGACTAAAATTATCTCAACTCACTAAGCTTTAGTCAATTTCAAAGCAATTGAATGAGAAGAGTGCAGCAATGCTCCTAAACAAAATTGAAATCTGGAAACTTTGTCATCACTTGGAGAATTCCAGCGAGAAAGGAGAAGGTTAACAGAGGCAAAAGTTGGCTAAACCTGAATTTCAGCCATGTATTACTAGGAGCAGAGGAATGGCCGAATTCAATAAACAATCCATGATTAAGGGTATTATTGTCAAAGAAATGCCAATTCTGACAGTGTTTCTAATTGAACTGTTAGCATTTGATGTGGGTGTTGTTATAAGGGGGAGATTAAATCCTTAATCAAAGCTAAAGGGGTAAATAGTTGCCTTGTAAAAGTTGAACTAATAATTATGATCAAATTAGAAGGGGCTGAAGTCCGTAAGTAATAAATGGGCCACTTTTTCTAGTATAAATGCTAGTATGCTACCACAATTATTTGTGCTTGATGCATTTCGGTACCTACATGTATTAGTTATAGTCATTATTAGTACTTTTCGAAATTTCGGTCAAAATTATCTGGCACAACATAAGATATCTTTATTTCCTAATAAAATTATACTCCGTATGTAATTAAATGACTCTTATCAAGCTCGAATCTCGATAAATTTTATTGTTTGGTGAATTTAGAAAGAAATAAAATGTGTGGGGGTATATATATATGTATATATATATATATATATATATATATATAGAGAGAGAGAGAGAGAGAGCCGTTCTTGTCCAGCCGGCCTGACGGGATGCTCCGTCCGGCCGAGGGCATTTCTTGATGAAATTTTTTGAGCATGTTCTTCATGAAGTCTAGTTTATCCATACCAAATTTAAGCAAAAAATTCAATCGGGAAGGCACTCAAATAATTTCTTGAAGTTAACTAGGCAGTTTATATGTATGAACTGCCCAGTTAACGTCAAGAAATTATTTGAGTGTCTTCCCGATTGAATTTTTAGCTGAAATTTGGTATGGATAAACTAGACTTCATGAAGAACATGCTCAAACAATTTCATCAAAAAATTCCATCGGGAAGTGCCCGAAATGCCCTTGGCCGGACAGCGGTTCTCGTCAGGCCGGCTGGACTTGAGGTTTTCTCTCTCTCTCTCTCTCTCTCTCTATATATATATATATATATATATATATAGAGAGAGAGAGAGAGGAATGATCAGGTCCATCCGGAGTGACGGGAGGTGCCGTCCGAACTTTACTGTTTGGGGTGGTTCCCGGTGGAATTTTTTGATGAAATTTTTTGAGCATGTTCCTCATCAAGTCTAGTTTATCCATACCAAATTTCAGCTCAAAATTCGATCGGGGAGGCATTCAAATAAATTCTTGAAACATACTGCACATTCTGCGCACATATAATGTGCTGTATGTTTCAAGAATTTATTTGAATGCCTCCCCGATCGAATTTTGAGCTGAAATTTGGTATGGATAAACTAGACTTGATGAGGAACATGCTCAAAACATTTCATCAAAAAATTCCACCGGGAACCGCCTCAAACAGTAAAGTTCGGACGGAGCCTCCCGTCCCTCCGGATGGACCTGAGCATTTATGTATATGTGTGTGTGTGTGTGTGTGTGTGTGTGTGTGTGTGTGTGTGTGTAGGTTTTGGTTCAAATAAGAACACAATCTATGAGAGAAATGAGAACTAATCAGGACCGTTAGATTTGCTTCAAGTGAGATTCAGTGTGCATTGGATGATACTGTAATGTGCATTAGGTGAAATTGAAATGTGCATTACAAAGGGTACGATAGAGTGGCATTATGTGCAGTTGAATTGTGCATTACGTGAAATTGAAATGTGCATTAGGTGAAGCTGAAATTTGCAGAATAAAAAGTACGATGTGATGTTATTTTTTGTACTTTTTTTCCCGCACATATCAGTTTCATCTAATGCACACTTGAGTTTAAAATTTTATTTTGCACATTTCAATATCATTTAATGCACATTTCAGTTTCACCAAATGCACAATTTGATTCCACATAATACAATCCAACGGTCCAGATTCGTTCTCATTTTTCTCCTAAGATCTGTTCTTACCGGAACCGCTCTATATATATATATATATATATATATATATATATATATATATATATATATATAATATATATATATATATATAAATATATATATATATATATATATATACTATTCTTTTTAATTGCAACATTGATGAATTTTTACTATTCACATACCCTATTTTAACTACATATAATTTATTAATGTATGATAAATTAACTTTTGAAAAATACTATTCCTCGTTTTAAATTTTTAAATCCAAATATTTGACCTTTTACTAATAAGGAATGAAATATACTAATGGTCAAACTTTTATGTTGGTGATAGAATGTTTTTACTTGGACTATAGTTTGTCTCAGACCAGACCAGATCAGGTTTGGATAATTATAAAAATACGAAGAAACCAGATCAAACCAATCCAAGTAAAAACATCCATAGTGAAAATTAGACCGTCACAACTAAAAAAAGCATGATCTTATAATTGTAATATTTCAAAATTACACTAGTCTCGTAAAATAAATAGTGATACACAATTTAGAGCAATGAATTTATTTGGCCCGCCCAAATTTTCTTCATTAGCTAGGGTATTGGTTTAACGGGTTGTTTACTTTTTTGATTAAGTCCTTCCTGAATAATTAAGATGTTTATCTAGATTAAGTGGTATTCGTACACAATTTAAGAATATTTATTTGTGTGCAGAATAAATAGTCTGAATTGAGTAAAATAATTAATTTAATATTATTCTTGGGTTATGATGGCATTGCGAAATTTCATTTCTTAGCATAAATCTATTCCATAATTGATTTTAAAAATTAATTTGACAGAAAAGATGTCATAATAGTTAATATACATCTTAATGAGAAGGATTACTATTTTATAGTTTAATAATTGAGTCAATTTTTTGACTGAATAATGAAGTCGTATATTCAATTAAGTCGTAAATAAACATGACTTGGAATATTTTTACTTGAACTTATTTCAGTCTCATACCATATTTAATCAGAACATACTAGACATTAACATGTCAGATCAGACTTATGCAATTATAAATGCATAGAGATAAATACATAGATGCCAAACATAACTAGAACATACTTAAACAAAACAGATACGACTAAAAAATTTCACTCCAAATAAAAACACTCTTAATGCTTGAATGATTAGTTCACTGCTCTCATCGATTAAGTCAAATGTAAACAACTCCATCTTAAGATATAGACATTTTGAGTAATTTTTCGATTAATTTCAGGGTCAAACTCGTATGACCACCTCCCAACAAGCATCATATGGGAGGAGGAAAATTAGATTAAATGTTGTTTAAAAGTGACATAAAAATGAAAATAAAATAAGAAATATGTGAATCTTACACATAAAAAAACACATAAAAAATGAAATCATGTGCAAGAGTGTGTGAGAGACTCCACGCTCCCATTAGGGATGCTCTAATAGAATTTGGTGGACACCTATATTCAAGAGAGATAAACCTATATAGTAGTTCATGCCTAAATAAGAATTATATCAAAACTTAGACCTAGTCACCTAGATAGGACTTAATTTGACACCGTTTGTCTATAAGCCTGTTTAGTAACCTATCACCTTATCGGACTTATCAGCAACATTTTTATCACATTTTTATCAGGCACATAACTTTTAGTTATACGCATTGAATTGTGTAGTAATTAAAATCAAAATAAGTAAGATTGGACTTGATTTTTTGTCTGAATTGACGGAAGTTACCGTAGAAGATAATTTTAACTATTTTTGTAGTATATATTATAGATTTAACCAATTCAGATTTAACAAATTTAACCATTTTTGTATATATCATTTCATAATGTAACAGATTTAACCAATTCAATCAAAAAATAATTAATTTCAGCAAATTTAAGACCAAACGGACTCTATGTCTCTTACTCGCTCATATGCAGTCAGAATTCACGTACGATTCAACATTAGGGGTAGAAGAGGTGTAACATACTCTATGTAACCCACTAAGATTGCACCACCTTTTCTTGAATAACTACATAACTTCACTTTTTCTTAAATAACCTTTTATATATATATATATGTTTTGGTTCAAATAAGAACATGATCTTATGAGAAAAATGAGAATGAATCTAGACCGTTAGATTTGCTTCATGTGAAATTCAATGTGCATTAGATAAAGCTGTAATGTGTATTAGGTGAAATTGAAATGTGCAGCACAAATGGTACAATGTAGTGGCATTATGTGAAGCTAAATTGTGTATAAAGTGGATTTGAAATGTGCACTAAATGAAACTAAAATGTGCAGAAGAAAAGGTACGATGTGATGTTATTTTAGTACCTTTTATTCTGCAAATTTCAGTTTCACCTAATGCACACGTGAGTTTAAATTTTTATTATGCACATTTC